AAATCATTTAGTCCAAGATTAAACAAAGATTACTCCGGTACCTGCTTCAAAATTGCCGCATGTCCAGATGTTCACTAAAACCCCTAGCAAATCACCGAGAAAGTGAGAAAGTCAAGGCCTATTTGTGTAGATGTCAAAGACCAGAAATCTTAGAGCGATCGTAAACAAGTGTTTTTGGACGCATTGATGTCTACAGTGATTGATCCAAAAACAAGACAGCGAATGAAAGCTTTGAAACATAAAAGACGCTAAAAACCTTGGCTGAACTTGTCAATCAATAAATTTTAAAAGGGCAAAGTTATACTCGGTATAATTCAAGTCGTCACAAACATTAACTTGAAGCATGTAACCATCTAACCGTACGAAAAATCTCACAATCTTTTTAGCAATTGTTCCTCAGCCTCCAGAAAAGTTTTCTTACGGCGGAAGAACACGGATTGGAAAAGGAATCCCTCCCTCAAACGTTTGAGTATGATATTATTTATGACCGGCAAGAACTGAAATATTAATATTATAGAATCCACGCACTAAAAAACATTTCCTTTCCGGTTCAAGTAAAGAAGGTTTGCGTGTGATTAAAGCCATTTGAAATCACAAGAAAAAAGTGGGAAATTGTAAAGTGTAATAACGTAATTATCAGCCTGTCGGGAAAATAATGAGCACAATGTCGCTGCACCGATCACGTGACCGAAGCGAAGAGAGAATTTGCTTTCGTTGCGACACAATTTTTCTTCTCAGTGGCAATGCGATTTTCTATGCGACAGAGTGCTCATTACTTTCCCGACATACTGATAGTAAGCTAAAAAAGCATTATTTTCACCGCAAACGTCACTAGTAGAGCTTCTCCGGACCAAAGAAACAAACGTAGAACAGAGTTCCTCTTAGAGCTTACAGAAGTGACCTCTCAGTAGCAGTTGAAAAGACTACAATTACTTTTAAAAGGACATATGGAAAATTTATCGAGCCGACGGAAGTCTTTAAGCTATTGAGGACTGCAATTATCAAAGAAGTGACTTTAACTATTTGTGCAACGTAGACGAGAAATCAACGGCTAAAAATCTTAACTGCCTTTGCAATCACAAAACAATGGGTATCCGAACGATCAGCATTTCTTTTAAGCCGTAAAAACTTTTCTAAGGACAAAAAAAACTATTATACCTTTTTCTCAGAACAATGCCTTACCTACTCCTAAAATTCGTTGTAAATTTGTTTCACTTGGCTCCCGTAAATCCCTTGGGTGCAAGTGGAAAATGTGACCTTGCTTAAACGCTAACATATTTTCCTCTCCCACGATTACGAATTTCTTCTTTGCCCTCGGACATACCGTTTTCCTAAATGCCGAGTAAAACCCGCCAAAGGCCGTAAAAAAGTGCGCCCAAAACAATCGGCCAAGCAATGTTGTTGAGGGGTTTTATGACCGTAAAAACGAGAAAATTGTTACATAAACATGACGGAAACAGGGGAAATGTGTAGACGAGGGACAATGAGGTAGCGGAACAAATTTAGAAAAAAACCTACGGTAAGGAAGGTATCTCTAAGATTTGTCTTTGGGCCTTTTTAAACTTACAGGGGAAGTACTCCAAGGCGACGCTAAGATTTTGATGATAATTGGCACAAATTTAGAATAATTTTTTTAAGATATATGCGGGAGTCTTAACTCGCGCTTTGCAGAAACAACCGAGATTTTTAGATCAAAAGTTGGCGAAAATTTAAGAATTTTTGCCGAATTTCGGCACGAAAAGTTCCATGCCTGTTTTTACCGTAAAGGATAATTTTTCTACAAAAAATCAAATTTTTCCGCACGAAACTGCCAAAGTTATGGCCAAAAAGCGCTTTTCTCTCTGACCGCTCTCCACGTTTAGCGTGCTCTCTCGGCGGCAAAAATCGTTCGATATCTCGGCGGCGCCCGCAAAGCGCGAGCTAAAACTTTGAGGAATTGATATTTACTCCATACCCGACGTGTGTGCAAAATTGAAGGAATATCTGAGCGTCGCACTGGGAGTACTTCCCCTGTTAGTGTACCCACTAGTCACGTAATTTTTAGCCTTGAGCATGCACATTAAAGGCCAGACAGAGATGCAAAGCGGTATTTTCAAAATCGTGCGTTAGTATTATATTATTTTGCAAAGTAATCAATGGCTACATTCTAAAGCAAAAGCATCAATTATGAAAACGCTCCCCATGTTCGAAAAAAATAAAACAGCAGTGTCCTTCTTATTTATTTAACAACCCTATCGTGCCCCCGTATACGGTCACTTCTAACGTTAAAAATTCGTGATGACGTTCAGTCATCGTATTGCAATATCTACACGAATTTTAAAAGATAATGGAATCGGTATTTTGAAAATGTCCAGACCTTACTTCATGTGTAAAATACCGTCTTTTAAACTATTATACTTCCTCATAGATTTGCAGCTCGAGTAAAAAAAGAAAACCGTACGAGACCACAAAGATTTGAAATGCATTAAACGCCAGCTGGACATCAAACCCTTCAAGTTCATTAGAGCACCTTTTCAGTTCCTTATTGTCGTCAAATCTCACACATCAATCATAAACAATGACCTCAGTCAGCAGCAGAAAAAAACGAACGACCAATTGAGCAAAGTGAAGCGGTCATTTTTACTTACAACCTTGATAAGATAAATAAATCAAGTTCGGAAAAAACGCAAAGCATCTTGTCGAATTCGCAAAAGATCGCGTACTGGTGATCGGCATAGCACCCTTTGTAAATTATAACTTATCCTCGCTGCAATTTTCGATAACGAAATCCGAGAATGAGCGCAGTTTGCAAGGTTGATTTAGCACAGCACTGCCATTAGACTCATTTCCAACCTTTTTATGTTTACGGTTTTCTGGGTGGGCCCGTTGGGGATGGGATTTTTATATGCAGTGCCGTGGTGGGTCAGCCTTTTTTGGAGGGAAACAAAAAATATCCGATGAAAGTGATGTCAAAAATAAGAGAAAATAAGAGAACTACCGTTGCTTTCGAATTGCAAGATTTTATGCGATCACTCTCAAGCAATTTTGATCAGCCGCACGCAGCCTAAGACATTGAGGACTCTTTTCTGTGTTTTAGACGGTGCGAAGGTCCAAAGTACAAGCAGTAATCAGAACTCGAACCAAGACATTTTTTTCAAGGCTCATAAAATCATTAGGCATAATTAAAGGGTCAATGGTTGAGGCCTCTGGCAGTTTGGGAAGAATCTGGCTTCCAAAAGTGTTTACAGTCCCTGAGGGCAGAAGTTGCAACGCCCCAAAACCAGTTAAACCCTAACTGTGCAAAATCTCAGGACTTTCTGTGTCGAATATACATACACCGGAAAAATTTGAATACCATAAGAACATGTACTCTAAGCGAACTTAGAGCCACACCAACGCCCAATTCCCTACGCAATCCCTGCACCAAAATGTCAGACGTCTCTTGAAGTAACCGGTTCTTCTAATGACTATATATTTCTGTATTTTCGTATACATATAAGCAGCGCTACGCCAGCTCTTCATAAAGGACCTACAGGAATAGTTGTTCCTTTTACATATGACCGGCTACAAATTGCTTCAAAAAGCGTAAAACTGTAATCTGAACCCAACATATCCCACCTGCTTACAAACCATAGCCTCAGGAAACCAAAAACCACTGAATGATTCATTCCTTTCCAATTATGCGTACATCCGGCTTGCCCAAATAGCCTTACAAGTTTTGTAGAAAACTTTTTTTACGCAATCTTGATAAATGAATGCGAATAAAATTAAAGTAATGGGACTGTTACTCCAACAACTTTTTTACACAAAACTTGGCCGAGAATGCCTTTAGCAGGTTCTCATTTCTTTCTGACGGGAGAAAAAACGGAGAACGCTAGATTTATGACAGGAAGGAACGCGTGTGTAAGACTTTAATTTTCCGCGATATTAATAAAGCCTTTTCGGGACATATATAGCGGAAAAATGCTCAGAGTTCATGATGATGTGAGATTTACATAAAGAGCGGCGAAGCCGCAGTACCACAAACTTCCGTTTTGTGCCAGACTTGGAAGTCCTGTTGTTCATAGGGACTGGACTAACGACAGGTGGACTTTTTGGATGATCTAGCAATGTAAGCTAGCTAAAGCACCCATTGAAGTTTGGATATAACCAGTCAAACTTGCTTTTTATGCCGGATGGCGCGTGGAGGAATAATGTACGCTTATCAGGCTCAGCCGTGACGTCTTTGAAGTGACTTTGCAACCAGGCGTTCCACTTTATATAGAGAGCTCTCCATAATATGTCTCCTCTTTATCGCCAAAATCTGGAGGCATATGACGTAATGGTGTTATTTTTTGGGACAAATTGGAAAACTCACATTTTTACAATCAATTTTGGCGTAGGATCTCGCTATAAATACATATGTGCCAAGTTTCCTCAAAATATGAGCGAATGAAAGTGTAATTATTGAAAAAATGCATTGGTGCTTAATTTTGCTGTTGTATTTTGTACCTTGAAAATTGGTCGCCACTTTTTTGCTCACTCTTTCGTTACTCAGCTTGCCCTCTTCGAACTTCACATTTTATTTTGATCCAAATTCACTAATCTCGTATTTTCAACCCATTATTTTGCGATTGCAAATGCGCTTGTGTCGCCGTCTCACGCTAATTCTGACCCTTGCTTGTTTAAGTTTTGTGATTTTGGTTAGGAATGTGAGTAAAATATATGGCAATTTATAGACTTACAGATCCTCAACAACGTCTATTCTATACAAATCTCTGAAGTCTACACATTTCTGAATGCAAATCAAAGGAAAATCCTTATTTGGTCGCCAGTTTGTGCCAGTTCTTATTGTCCTGCGACTAGTTTTTTTATGTCAAGAGTGCACAATGTATGCGGAAAGAGGTGCATTTTCTTCCATGATCGAGAGCTGTTTAAGAAAGCAGATGCAGTGGTCTTTTCTTCATTTTACGGAAGTAGGTAGAATAAACTACATAAGCGTTGTATGGTTTATCATCATCTATTTTGTAGCCTTTAGAAAGATGAGATATCCTAACCGAAATAACACAGAGCAACTGTTCATCTTCTACGAGAGAGAACCCCCAATTCGGTACCCGGCTGATGCACAGTAAGTTCCTGTTCGACATTTATTTATACTTATGTCGGCGCGATATGCACTAGGCGGACCCAACAGTCTTGGTATTGTTTGACCGTGCGAGCTCTCGCAAAAATCTTACCCACGACTAGGCTTCACGATGTACACCGACCATGCTATTTTCAAGTACGCCTATACAAAATATTTTTTCAGACTTCCGTTAGACTACTTCAATGCAACTGCAACCTTTCACAGTACATCTGACATACCTGTCTTTTATGGACGATACTTGGAAGACCCAAAGAATATGACAGTAAGCACAAAATCGCATTTCAGCCTTCTTCTTCAGAAAACCGATTACCGTAATAAACTGCTGCGAGCCGCCAAGAAGAAACAGAGGGGAGCATTCTTCGTCCACTCACATTGCCAAACACAAAGTCGACGGCAAGACATCATGTCGATCCTCCGAAAGTAGGGCGTATAACAGGTTTTAATCCTTCTTTTTCGGCACATGACAATAGACTTTTTTGGTCGTTGTGCGAATATTACATGCAACACAGAGTGCTTCAAACATAAGACGAAGAACCACCGATTTTACTTGTCGTTTGAAAATTCATTTTGTAATGAGTACGTGACCGAGAAGTTCTGGAGATTCAACGAGCTGGTACCGGTGGTACTGAGCCGGCGGTACTATCCGAAGTTACATCCGGAATCTTTCATTGCGCTGGATGATTTTAGGTAGGCTGATTAAGATTTAAGAATTGCTCAACATTAATCTGTGGTAAAATAATGAGGACAATGTCGCTGCGCTGATCGTGAAGTGAAAAACAACTTGATTTTGCCGCAACACAATTCATTTTCATGGCTGTGAGGCGATTTTCGATGCGACAGAGTGCTCATTATTTTCCCGGCATACTGATGACGCCTTTTAGCTCACTACAAGCAGCAGCAGAATACCTCAATTATCTCCAGAAGAATGACAGCGCCTATGTCGACCATCTAATGTGGACCTATACTCACAGACGGGAATTCATTCCGGTGGAGCGGGCACTATGCAAAATCTGCAATTATGTAATCAGCCGAAATACCAGCACACCCCAAGTGTATCATCGGATAGAGGAATACCAAAACAGGACGAGCACCTGCGACCTCGGATATCAGTTACGATGGCTGAAGCCTCGCGTTTTTACCTAGGTGCTAATAAAGAAAAAAAGCAAGTCTTCAAACGGTGACAGGGCATTCAAGCAATAGTCGAAGTGCGCGTCGACCACGCACAGTGCAAAATGAATTTTCTGAGGATGGGCCAACAAAGCTTATCAGTCCGGCGGGTCGTCGGTCGTCGCAGCAAAATTTTTCGCCTTGTCGAAAAAAAGAGGGCAGTCGCTCACCACTTCCCCTGCCACGGCTAGACCGTTAGTCGCAAAAGGATGGTGGGCGATTCCAAGGCACAACTTTTTCATGTTGACTTTTTGGCCCGCCTATTATTATTCAAAAATAGCATTGGGGGTTTCTGTGTGATCAGGTGCAAAATAAAAAAAGAACAAAAGTACGTTCCGGAAGGTTCATTGTTTGATCAGCCTTTGAAAAGTTTAGTAACGGGTTCAAGTAATTATGACTTGGATATACGGCATTGGACAAGCCCCCGCTTCGCGGGGCCTTGACGTCGCTGTGCGCGCAAAGGTTGCCACACGTGCTCTACTGTTGATCGCGCACTACCTCTGGAGTCGCTGGCCCCGCTTCGCGCGGCCAGAAAAACGCGCTAACGCGCGTTCTACTTACTCAAGCCCGGGGGTCTCTGTGACCGAGAGGCCGCGCGCCAGCGCTACTCTCCGCCAGCGAAAGGCCGCGCGCCAGCGCTACCCTTCATCAACGACAGGCCGCGCGCCAGCGCTACCTTTCATCAGCTAACTCTAATTTTACCCTCGCAGAGCCACGAAGTTGCGTAAAAACAAAAAAATTGCGAAAAGAAAGTCGACTTGCTCCGCTCCGACCCGGAGCTAATATTTCGAATCAAAATCACTCACCCCAGCCAACCCTAATTTACCCCGCCCCCTTAGAATGGGGCATTCCGCTTTCTTCCTCTGTCTTCTCTTCCGGTCTCTCGCTCTCCGCTCTTTCTCGCATTTCGAAACTTGCGTAAAAGCAAAGGAATTTCCCTCTCTCGCTCTCCGCTCTCTCTCGAAATTCGAACTTGCGTAAAAGCAAAGGAATTTCCCTCTCTCGGCCATCGATCTCGCACAAAAAATTCAAAGTCCACCGCTGTTGGGGACGACTCGGCTCGGCCTCCGGCCTCGCCGAGTCGTATTTTAGGAAATGAAAGTGGTTTCTGGACCGGTTTTTCACGCTGAACACGATGGTCCAAGTCTCGATTCACGAAATTTGAATTTAGCGGCCGCAGGGCAAATTTTCGGCCGAACCGCCCACTTTTGGCCGAAATTTGGCCAGTGCTCGCTGAATTCGAAAGCGATTTGGCTGAAATTTGGCACGATTAAAGCTTGTGGAATTTGTCGAAAATTGACCCGAGCCGAATTTTGAATTTTACACTTTTGCCCTCGGGGCGTATTTAGTTCGCTGAAAAAATTTAATTTTGGTCTGGACGGTCGTATTTTAGGAAAAGTCGGAGTTGCGCACATGAATATTACCTAAAATTTGATTCTGCGTCGAATGGTACCAAGATCGTGTCGATAGCTCCACTGGCAGCCGAGTTCTGGAAGGGCGGATCCAGAAAATTTCGAATTTTTGCCTTTGTCGCTAGGCGGGCGGGGTAAGATGGTCGTATGTTGGGAGGTGAGAGTTGTTTCTAGGGCAGTTTGAGGTGCTGATTACGGGGCGAATCTCGAAAATCCGAAAAATTTGAAGTCCGAGCCCTGAGGGCGGATTTTGTGCAAAAAATCCCGAAAATTTTGCGCCAACAGTTTGATCTGACTTCCGGCAGGGTCCCAGTAGCCGAAAAAATTCCAGCGATAGCTGAGACTAATAGCTATGTCGCTGTGGAGCCGGATTTTTGAATTTCGATCTAGTTTTCCAGAAAAAAATTCCGGAAAATTTCGACTTTTTTGGGAAATTTCGGAAAATCTCGAATAGCTAAAATACGAAATACGACACAGTAACGCAATACATGGTTCTAGGGTATATCAGGCATGCTGAATCAGAATCCGTTGTCAAAATCCAGAAATTCCGTCATCTTGATGGTGAAATCTGGAAAAAACCGAAAAATGCCGAAAATCGCTTATAACTTTCGACCGGTCGATAATTGTAAATTGTAAGTGGGCTTCAGAAGTCTTAGAATTTTGTCTAGAATACGATTCAATCAAAAAATTCCGGAAAATCGGACGTATATGCTGGAGACCCTCAGGGCATATATGACGAAATTTCGAAAAAACGCAAAGTTCCGTCACGAATTGCACATGAACATGATGTAAAAAGCTCGGAAACTTTTCTCTGTAAGAAAAAAGTTACAGCCAATCTAAAAATAAAAAATCTCACTTTCAAACGCCTGCAGTTCCCGCCAAAATCGGCGAAAAGTGAATTTTGAAATGCCAAAAGTCTTAGAATTTTTTGCTCTACCGCCATGCCAAATTTCAAGTCGATAAGTCAACGTCTTCGATTTTTTACCTTTCTCTCTTATAGTATCTTTCGACAAGCCCCCGCTTCGCGGGGCCTTGACGTCGCTGTGCGCGCAAAGGTTGCCCCTGCACAGTGTCGCTGATCGCGCACTACCTCTGGAGTCGCTGGCCCCGCTTCGCGCGGCCAGAAAAACGCGCTAACGCGCGTTCTACTTACTCAAGCCCGACAGTTATGGTCAGGTAAAGGCCGCGCGCCAGCGCAACGTTTCATCAGCTAAAGGCCGCGCGCCAGCGCTACCTTCCATAAGTTTACTTTGTATTCATTGACCGGCTCTTGGTGAAAAGCCTCCCCGCCACGTCAAGGCGGCCGGTCTTCGGGGAAGTGGTGTTATTTTTTTTTGGAAAAAATAACAAAACCTTTGCCCTTCTCTTTTTATGACTTTCAATTACTGTTTATTTCCCAGCAGGTTTCTGAGGGTATTTCGACTTCTGATTCTCGTAAATTGTATCGAGATCGCGCAGGAACTTTGTGACTTCGCCGTAAACCACATTATCAATCTCGTCCGTATTCACGTGAGAGTATATGTGGATGTCGGCGGCCCTTCGTGTGCGACTGAGCGACACATATGTCTGGCCGTGACTAAACACCGGATCGTCCAAGTATAGTCCAACTACGTTCAAGGTTTGCCCTTGAGCACGATTAATGGACATTGCGAAGGCCAATTGCAATGGGAATTGATAACGCGTAAAGCGTATTCCTGCTCTGGCGTCTTTTCGAGGACGATAGTCAAATCGACTTCTGGCAATAAGGGCTATTTGCCCGAGATTGCCGTGAGGGTCGATCTTCTGACATTCGACCAAGTCGTTGTGCAAGGCAACGACCCGCATTCTGGTTCCGTTCGAGAAACCTGTGCGGACTGATAAGTTTTTACGTAGAATGACATCTACTCCGACTTTCAGTTTCAACTCTCCGGGAGGCATATTGCCGTCATTAACCTTGCAAATTTGCTCCTGCATTGCCTCGATCACTGTGTGATCGAAGTTACTGACATCGTCAGGATTCGGAGTGTTCACCGAGACGTACACTTGCTCCTTCCCCGGGAAGCGGTCAAGAATCTCTGTGTTCAGATTCGTTACAGTCTGAACTCGAGGGGCTAATATCGCCATTCCGGTTGGTCTTGTCTCGAGAGTCATCTGTAGATGACTTTCGGGGAAGACAGCCTCAATCATGTCTTGCGGACTTGTATGATTGTGAATGTCTGGATGCAACTTGTGTCTAATCGAGAAGGCGGTCACTCTTGAAGCAAACTTTGTTCCTGAGCCAATTTCTTGGAGAAACTGTCTGTAGCTCCTTTCATCAGCTCTTGTTCTGTGATTTTGCTTCAGAACAATGTATTGCATTTCAGCTTTTTTAGAGATCAGTGACCTGTTCCATTCTTCGCCGATCCTGAGATCTGGGCAAACGGGCAGTATTTGTTGGTAATCTCCTCCGTAGAGGATGACCAACTGCCGATCAATATCGCCTGGCCTGCGAACATGGCGCAACAGACGCTGCAAGTAATCGTACATGTTAATGTGCAATTGACTTGCTTCGTCAATGATCAAAAGACCAAGTTGACGAATACGCTGGGCCCTGGAGTCTTCGTACTTTAGAGTAGGAAGAGTGTCCGGGGTGAGATCAAGTGGAGCCCACAACAGATTATGGAGGGTCATTCCACCGGGCAGCAAGTTAGCCGCTACTCCGGTTGTAGCGGTGGCCGCGTATTTGATGCCATTCTCGGTGCAATAATTTGCGAGTTCAGTGTACAGGGTTGTTTTCCCTGTACCGCCTGCGCCATGTATAAAGAATTGACGATGGGGCATCGCCTTATTCTTTAGCCCGAGTTCCATCGCCTTGGTTATAGTATCAAAGGCGTATTGTTGGTCGTCTCCGAGGACTACCTTTGGCTTAGGAGGTTCTGGAGGACGCTCAGTCGTTTCGAACTCCCCAACGAAAAGATCCACGTCTTCACCGTGGACATCAGGGTCATATGCTCCATCCAAGGGTGGTAAATTGAAGGATTCATACTTCCCACCCATATTGGAGATGTAATAGCTTAGGAGCTCCAAGGCTCTGCGCTCTTGCCTTTCCCTGATTTCAGCATCAGGCATGTTGGGCCTGTGGAATGTCGGCATCATCATGTGGATCTTATAGTCGTTCCACAATTGAAGCTGATCTTCAATAAGTTCACCGGCCTCGATGAGGACTTGGGCAAACAGAAACACGAAGTGTTTGCAGGTGCGTCCACGGGCTTGGTCGAGGGCTTGTCGCCAAAGAACATCCGAGTGGAAAAGTCCTCGGGCCTGAGCAGCCTCCAAAAATGTGGCGTAAATGTGGCCTCTACATCTAGTTTCAAATTAGGATTTGTTTCAATCAAGTCCTCAAATTGGAATGAATCCATACTTTGGGAGAGACTTTCGACATCCTCTAACTGTTCTGTGCGATGATCTTGCTGTTCAACCTGAACAGAAGTCTTTACAGATGGCTGACAGTCTTGTGTTTTAGACAGCTGCGACTTTCTCTTTCGGGAAGCAAACCCCATGCCTTTTGAAGCCCGTTTTGTTCGGGATTTTCCTTCAGATGTCGGAGCAGAGTGACATTTCTGAAGTGGCAATGACTCGGCTTTTTTGCTGGACTTGTCAACTTGTGAGGGGTTCCTTTTACCGCCTCCACGACATGCCTCAACGTAACGCTGGCAGGGGTTGGCAGGAATACTGCCGTTTTCAAGCAGTGTCATCTGCTTAGTCTCAGCGTAAAGCTGGCAAAGATTGGCAGGAATGTTGCCGTTTTCAGGCAATTTCATCTGCTTTGCAGGAATATTGCCATTTTCAGGCAATTTCATCTGCTTTGCAGGAATATTGCCATTTTCAGGCAATTTCATCTGCTTTGCAGGAATATTGCCATTTTCAGGCAATTTCATCTGCTTTGCAGGAATATTGCCATTTTCAGGCAATTTCATCTGCTTTGCAGGAATATTGCTCTCAGGCAATTTCATCTGCATCCGTTGCGGGAATTTATGCATCCGCCTATTAGTAGTAGTAGAAGTAGTAGTAGTAGGAATACGAATATAATTTTGGCAAGGCATCGAAAAAAAATATTTCGAAGCGAAGTTCAAAATGAAGAAAATTTTCGAATCGAAATTCACGAAAAAAATCCGATTCGAAAAAAAATAGTAGCGCGCGAAAATAAAAGTTTTGAGTCAAAGCTCAATTAGCCAGTGAAGCAAAGTTCACTTGAAAATCCTTCTGCGAAAGATAACATATTTCCAACCGAACGCGCATCAACGATTTCCTTGCGAAGCGAAGAAATGGGGAGGAAAAACGAAGAGAGCGAGAGAAACGCGCGCTATTTCTCGCTCTCTCTGCCTCTCAGCGCCCTCTCTCGGTTTCGCGCTCTCTCGCTCTCTCTCTCTCTTTTTCGCGTGTCCGATCTGGCAAGTTAAGCAACTTTACAAAAAAGATGTCGCAATAAGCTGGAAATGATCAAATAATTAAAATATAATTAATTTATGATATTTAGAAAAAAAAATCAAAATTTTATATGCAATTTGAAGCGAGTTAAATCAAGAACAAATTTATATTGTACATGAGGAAATTTGAGAAAAAAATGTTTTTAATGAAAGAATAGGCACGAATCAAATAGAAAATATTGTAGTAAATTAAATTTGTGATTTTTTGAGACCATTCCGATCCATTTTTATGCGAAATGACCGAAGTTACAGCCGAAAAAAAATTACATTGTACTTGACCTAGAAAATCGCGAATAACTTTCGACCGGTCGATAATTGTCAATAGCAAGTTGGGTTCAGAAGGCTTGGATTTTTGCGCAGAACACGATGCAATCAAAAAATTTCCGAAAATCGAAAGTAGAAAGAAGTTACAGCCAAAACAAAATTTATATTGTACTTGCGAATAACTTTCGACCGGTCGATAATTGTCAATAGCAAGTTGCGTTCAGAAGGCATGGAATTTCACGCAGAATAGGACGAATTCAAAAAATTTGCGAAAATCGAAAAAAATTTTCCTAACTTTCGACCGGTCGATAATTGTCAATAGCAAGTTGCGTTCAGAAGGCATGGAATTTCAGGCAGAATAGGATGAATTCAAAAAATTTGCGAAAATCGAAAAAAATTTTCCTAACTTTCGACCGGTCGATAATTGTGAATAGCAAGTTGCGTTCAGAAGGCATGGAATTTCACGCAGAATAGGATAGAATCGAAAAATTACCGAAAATCGAAAAATTTTTTCCTAACTTTCGACCGGTCGATAATTGTCAATAGCAAGTAGGCTTCAGAAGTCGAAGAATTTTGCGCAGAACACGATGCAATCAAAAAATTTCCGAAAATCGCACGTATAAAGAAGTTACAGGCAAATGAAAATTATATTACACATGGCAATTGAGATAAATTTTGAATTTCGCTGATGTCAGGAGGGTTCCGGTCGGCTTCAGCCTTCGACTGAAGCCTCCCGGAGCAACAGGCGAGCTGGCTCGCATTGAAAAACCGACCGAGTGAATATTGTACACGTGCTGTTCTACCACAATGTTCCTTTCATTATTCAAATGCCAAGAAGTTAACTAATTAGTACACACAAAGATTGAGTGAAACAAAACAATTTATTTAACTTAAAACCAAAACAATACTATTCATTCAAACAAACAATACTATCTTTTCAAACAATATTAGTCAACTTTCCTTTGTGGCATTTTTTTTTTGATCTCTTCTCTAAGAGTGACGACATTCTTCTTCTTGGGTTCATTGAGTTGCTCCAACTGAAGTTCTCGAAGCCTTCTCTTCTCCGCCTTCCGTTGGTCTCTGCGTTCGCGGCGTTCTTGCTCTTCTTGGAGCTGCTGGCGGAGGTTCTCCTGGTTCTCATGGGATTTTTGGAGTTGACGCTCAAGTCTTCTAATTTTTGCTCTGATTGCGGCATCGGCATTCTCTTGGTCCCGCTTTTTGGAAAGCTCAAGGGCGTTGAGGGGTGGCTCGTGACTCATAACCGTGTCTTCTTCAGCAACAACCGGCCCATTGATTTTCGGGTCACCCAAGACAACATCCGCCTCAACGAAGGCAATATCCGGCTCATCCGCAATATGAGGCGGGGTCTGACATTCGCTTTGATCCACATCTTGTGCCGTGAAATCAGAGTTGATTTTCTCGTTCTCGACTCTGAAGAAGAACAAAACAATAACACAACGAAAGGTCATGAAACAACTGAAAAAGCATTGCAAAACTTACTGGTTCACCTCGTTGGGAGGGGAGATCGGGATGGGAACGACATCGGTAATGGCGCCGGAGATGGCAGGGACGGAAGATCTCGATCCATCACGCCACCTGAAACAAAATTACTATTAATTGAAAATGAATCTGCTGACAACAAAAAGCTGTCTATAACGAATGTCCGATCTATAAAAAAACAACTTACTGTCTTGATCTAAACGTCCCTCTTCTATTGTGCCAACCCCCACGCTTTCCTCGGCCACCGCTAGAGTGGCCTCCAACCGTGTGGACCACGACTTGTTTCATGATCTTTACGTGTTGAAACTAAACAGAGTCAGATTACCCCAAGTACGACGCTCACATTTTCTTTGAACAAACGTGACTCATAAAGGAAGTATCAATTGTCGAAAATTTTAGCAATGTTGTAAAGTTTTCGCTTGCTTTTCGAAAATCTCGGTTGCTTCTGCAAAGCGCGAGGTAGGATTTTGGTTAATCTGTTTAAAAAAAGTCTCCGAATTATTATATGTGCCAAATTTCATCAAAATCTGAGCGTCGAACTCACCCCCCTCCCCTCCCTGTAAAACTTTCAAAGAAATCAAAAACTCACATTCATTTGACTTTGATCAGTTTTATCGAGATTCAAAAGCGGCTCTGTAAAAAAATAAAAATAATTAAAAAAATTCAAAAATAAGTCCGTTTTCTGAAAGAAAAGAAGAAAACGGGGGTAAAATGGTTGGGAAAAGCTTGGCAAAGCTTTGGCCGAGGTGTATTAAAAGTTTTGTCGACGTTTTGTCGAACTTTTTGCCCAGTTTTCACCTTATTTTAGGCGGCAAAAGGGTTTACCCAAGAGCCGCCTAAAATAAGGTGAAAACTGGGCAAAAAGTTCGACGAAACGTCGACAAAACTTTTACTACACCTCGGCCAAAGCTTTGCCAAGCTTTTCCCAAACATTTGACACCCACTTTCTTCTTTTCTCTCAGAAAAGTTACTTATTTTTGGGATTTTTTGAAGTTTTACCTATTTTTGAGAATTTTTTAAATTTTTCGGTGTTCAAGGGGAAGAAAGTAGGTGTGAAATCTTTGATAAAAGCTTGACAAAGGCTTGGCGGACGTTTGGCCTCCACTTTTTGCCCAGTTTCGACCTTATTTTAGCCGGCAAAAGGGTTTACCCAAGAGCCGCCTAAAATAAGGTGAAAGCTGGGCGAAAAGAGGAGCCAAAGGTCCGCCAAACCTTTGCCAAGCTTTTATCAAACATTTCATACCTACTTTCTTCCCATTCCTTCCCCTTGAGCACCGAAAAATATAAAAAATTCCCAAAAATAGGTAAAACTTGAAAAAAACCCCAAAAATAAGTAACTTTTCTGATAGAAAAGAAGAAACTGGGTGTCAAATGTTTGGGAAAAGCTTGGCAAAGCTTTGGCCGAGGTGTAGTAAAAGTTTTGTCGACGTTTCGTCGAACTTTTTGCCCAGTTTTCACCTTATTTTAGGCGGCTCTTGGGTAAACCCTTTTGCCGCCTAAAATAAGGTGAAAACTGGGCAAAAAGTTCGACAAAACGTCGACAAAACTTTTAATACACCTCGGCCAAAGCTTTGCCAAGCTTTTCCCAACCATTTTACGCCCGTTTCCATCCTTTCTGCCCCCCCCCTTCACGATCAACAAAAGAAAAGAAAAAAAAAACATACCTAAATCCTGTCTTGATGGAGCTCGGTCTTGATGAAACCTGGAAAGAACATAATTAAAAATGTAAAAAATTATATAACACGAAAAAGCACGAAAGAAATTATGCAAAATTACAAAGCTCATGCGGAAAAATGCGGAAAAATAGACTCCCTTTTTTGGGGAAACAAAGCGGTTTGGGGTGCAGGCTGCGCCCGAGGAACTGCAAATAAATTTTGATAAAATACTTTCAAAACAGCGGGGAATGATGAGCTTATCAAAATATGATTGATTTATGATATTTAAAAAAAAAAATCAAAATTTTATGTGCAACTGGAAGCGAGTTATACCAAAAAAAAAAATTTATATTGTACTTGACCTCGAAAATTGCGAAAATTTGAGAAAAAAAATGTTTTAAATGAAAGAAAATGCAGGAATCAAATAGAAAATATTGTAGTAGATTACATTTCTGATTTTTAGAGACCATGCCGATCCATTTATATGCGATTTGACCGAAGTTACAGCCGAAACAAATTTATATTATACTTGACTAAAACTGCGAATAACTTTCGACCGGTCAATAATTGTCAATAGGGTTCAGAAGGCTTAGAATTTGACGCAGAATAGGACGAAATCAAAAATTTAGCGAAAATGGAAAAAAAATTTCCTAACTTTCGACCGGTCGATAAATAAAAATTATATTACACTTGGCGATTGAGTGAAATTTTGAACTTTGCTGATGCAAGTAGGGCTCCGGTCGGCTCCAGCCTTCGGCTGGAGCCTCCCGGAGCAGCAAGCGAGCTGGCTCGGCCTTCGGCCTCGCCAGCTCGCAATAAATTTTTATAAAAATTGTCTGTTTCGCTGTGTGAGTAGGGCTCCGGTCGGCTCCAGCCTTCGGCTGGAGCCTCCCGGAGCAGCAAGCGAGCTGGCTCGGCCTTCGGCCTCGCCAGCTCGCAATAAATTTTTATAAAAATTGTCTGTTTCGCTGTGTGAGTAGGGCTCCGGTCGGCTCCAGCCTTCGGCTGGAGCCTCCCGGAGCAGCAAGCGAGCTGGCTCGGCCTTCGGCCTCGCCAGCTCGCAATAAATTTTTATAAAAATTGTCTGTTTCGCTGTGTGAGTAGGGCTCCGGTCGGCTCCAGCCTTCGGCTGGAGCCTCCCGGAGCAGCAAGCGAGCTGGCTCGGCCTTCGGCCTCGCCAGCTCGCAATAAATTTTTATAAAAATTGTCTGTTTCGCTGTGTGAGTAGGGCTCCGGTCGGCTCCAGCCTTCGGCTGGAGCCTCCCGGAGCAGCAAGCGAGCTGGCTCGGCCTTCGGCCTCGCCAGCTCGCAATAAATTTTTATAAAAATTGTCTGTTTCGCTGTGTGAGTAGGGCTCCGGTCGGCTCCAGCCTTCGGCTGGAGCCTCCCGGAGCAGCAAGCGAGCTGGCTCGGCCTTCGGCCTCGCCAGCTCGCAATAAATTTTTATAAAAATTGTCTGTTTCGCTGTGTGAGTAGGGCTCCGGTCGGCTCCAGCCTTCGGCTGGAGCCTCCCGGAGCAGCAAGCGAGCTGGCTCGGCCTTCGGCCTCGCCAGCTCGCAATAAATTTTTATAAAAATTGTCTGTTTCGCTGTGTGAGTAGGGCTCCGGTCGGCTCCAGCCTTCGGCTGGAGCCTCCCGGAGCAGCAAGCGAGCTGGCTCGGCCTTCGGCCTCGCCAGCTCGCGATAATTTTTCGCTTATGTAAGGAATTCGCACTTTTGGCCGAAATTTGGCCAGTGCTCACTGAATTCGAAAGCGATTGGGCTGAAATTTGGCACGATTGAAGCTTGTGGAATTTGTCGAAAATTGACCCGAGCCGAATTTTGAATTTTACACTTTTGCCCTCGGGGCGTATTTAGTTCGCTGAAAAAATTTAATTTTGGTCTGGACGGTCGTATTTTAGGAAAAGTTGGAGTTTCGCACATGAATATTACCCAAAATTTGATTCTGCGTCGATTGGTACCAAGATCGTGTCGATAGCTCCACTGGCAGCCGAGTTCTGGAAGGGCGGATCCAGAAAATTTCGAATTTTTGCCTTTGTCGCTAGGCGGGCGGGGTAAGATGGTCGTATGTTGGGAAGTGAAAGTTGTTTCTAGGGCAGTTTGACGTGGCGATTACGGGGCTTATCTCGAAAATCCGAAAAATTTGAAGTCTGAGCCCTGAGGGCGGATTTTGTGCAAAAAATCCCGAAAATTTTGCGCCAACAGTTTGATCTGACTTCCGGCAGGGTCCCAGTAGCCGAAAAAATTCCAGCGATAGCTGAGACTAATAGCTATGTCGCTGTGGAGCCGGATTTTTGAATTTCGATCTAGTTTTCCAGAAAAAATTCCGGAAAATTTCGACTTTTTTGGGAAATTTCGGAAAATCTCGAATAGCTAAAATACGAAATACGATAGCAAGATACGAAAGGTGGTTCTAGGGTATGTCAGGCATGCTGAATCAGAATCCGTTGTCAAAATCCAGAAATTCCGTCATCTTGATGGTGAAATCTGGAAAAATCCGAAAAATCGCGAAAATCGCTTATAACTTTCGACCGGTCGATAATTGTAAATTGTAAGTTGGGTTCAGAAGTCTTAGAATTTCGTGAAGAATACGATGGAATCAAAAAAATCCGAAAAGTCCAACCGTTAGGGGTGATATCCGGAGGGCATAGATATGCAAATTTCGAAAAAACCGAAAGTTTCGGCCCCAATCGATGATGACAATAGCCAAAAAGCTAAGGGCTACCTGAAAAATGTCAAAAGTTACGGCGAAAAAACGATTAAAAAATCCCACTTTCAACAGGGCGCAGCTCGCCGGAAACGAAAAATTTCAACTATCCGCTGATGCCAAAAGTCTTAGAATTTTGTGTAGCAACTTCACTAAAAATTTTTTCCCGATATCTCAACGTTGAATAGTTTTCAGTTTAGTTTTTTAGGGTATCTTTCGACAAGCCCCCGCTTCGCGGGGCCTTGACGTCGCTGTGCGCGCAAAGGTTGCCCATCTTGAAGGTTGTTGATCGCGCACTACCTCTGGAGTCGCTGGCCCCGCTTCGCGCGGCCAGAAAAACGCGCTAACGCGCGTTCTACTTACTCAAGCCCGCGAAAAAGACATGCTCCGCTCCGACCCGGAGCAAATATTTCGAATCGCAATCACTCACCCCAGCCAACCCTAATTTACCCCGCCCCCTTGGAATGGGGAATTCCGCTTTATTTCTCCGTCTTCTCTTCCGGTCTCTCGCTCTCCGCTCTCTCTCGAAATTCAAACTTGCGTAAAAGCAAAGGAATTTCCCTCTCTCGGCTCGGCCTCGCACAAAGAAATCCAAAGTTGCGTAAAAGCAAAGGAATTTCCCTCTCTCGCTCTCCGCTCTCTCTCGAAATTCGAACTTGCGTAAAAGCAAAGGAATTTCCCTCTCTCGGCTCGGTCTCGCACAAAAAAATACAAAGTCCACCGCTGTTGGAGACGACTCGGCTCGGCCTCCGGCCTCGCCGAGTCGTATTTTAGGAAATGAAAGTGGTTTCTGGACCGGTTTTTCACGCTGAACACGATGGTCCAAGTCTCGATTCACGAAATTTAAATTTAGCGGCCGCAGGGCAAATTTTCGGCCGAACCGCCCAATTTTGGCCGAAATTTGGCCAGTGCTCACTGAATTCGAAAGCGATTTGGCTGAAATTTGGCACGATTGAAGCTTGTGGAATTTGTCGAAAATTGACCCGAGCCGAATTTTGAATTTTACACTTTTGCCCTCGGGGCGTATTTAGTTCGCTGAAAAAATTTAATTTTGATCTGGACGGTCGTATTTTAGGAAAAGTTGGAGTTTCGCACATGAATATTACCCAAAATTTGATTCTGCGTCGATTGGTACCAAAATCGTGTCGATAGCTCCACTGGCAGCCGAGTTCTGGAAGGGCGGATCCAGAAAATTTCGAATTTTTGCCTTTGTCGCTAGGCGGGCGGGGTAAGATGGTCGTATGTTGGGAAGTGAAAGTTGTTTCTAGGGCAGTTTGATGTGCTAATTACGGGGCTTATCTCGAAAACCCGAAAAATTTGAAGTCTGAGCCCTGAGGGCGGATTTTGTGCAAAAAATCCCGAAAATTTTGCGCCAACAGTTTGATCTGACTTCCGGCAGGGTCCCAGTAGCCGAAAAAATTCCAGCGATAGCTGAGACTAATAGCTATGTCGCTGTGGAGCCGGATTTTTGAATTTCGATCTAGTTTTCCAGAAAAAAATTCCGGAAAATTTGGAGTTTTTTCGGAAATTTCGGAAAATCTCGAATAGCTAAAATACGAAATACGACAGCAAGATACGAAAGGTGGTTCTAGGGTATGTCAGGCATGCTGAATCAGAATCCGTTGTCAAAATCCAGAAATTCCGTCATCTTGATGGTGAAAAATGGAAATTTCGGAAAATCGGGAATAACTATCGACCGGTCGATAAATCGACTATGGTGTAACGGGATGTTTTTCATTACTCGAGGTGTGGATACGAATGGAATTTGAGTTTTTTCACTCCGATGCCCTGAAGGCTCAAACTGCTATATCGCCCTGGGGGCATGTTATGCAAATTTCGAAAATCCGCGAAGTTCCGTCACAGATAGTTGATGAACATGATGCAAAGAACTCGGAAACTTTTCTCTGTAAGAAAAAAGTTACAGGCGATCCAAAATCGAAAAATTTCATTTTCAACAGGGCGCAGCTCGCGCGAAAAGCAAAATTTCAACTATCCGCTGATGCCAAAAGTCTTAGAATTTTGTGTAGCAACTTCACTAAAAATTTTTTTCCGATAACTCAACGTTGAATAGTTTTCGGATATGTTTCTTATATGTATCTTCGACAAGCCCCCGCTTCGCGGGGCCTTGACGTCGCTGTGCGCGCAAAGGTTGCCCATCTTGAAGGTTGTTGATCGCGCACTACCTCTGGAGTCGCTGGCCCCGCTTCGCGCGGCCAGAAAAACGCGCTAACGCGCGTTCTACTTACTCAAGCCCGCGAAAAAGACATGCTCCGCTCCGACCCGGAGCAAATATTTCGAATCGCAATCACTCACCCCAGCCAACCCTAATTTACCCCGCCCCCTTGGAATGGGGAATTCCGCTTTATTTCTCCGTCTTCTCTTCCGGTCTCTCGCTCTCCGCTCTCTCTCGAAATTCAAACTTGCGTAAAAGCAAAGGAATTTCCCTCTCTCGGCTCGGCCTCGCACAAAGAAATCCAAAGTTGCGTAAAAGCAAAGGAATTTCCCTCTCTCGCTCTCCGCTCTCTCTCGAAATTCGAACTTGCGTAAAAGCAAAGGAATTTCCCTCTCTCGGCTCGGTCTCGCACAAAAAAATACAAAGTCCACCGCTGTTGGAGACGACTCGGCTCGGCCTCCGGCCTCGCCGAGTCGTATTTTAGGAAATGAAAGTGGTTTCTGGACCGGTTTTTCACGCTGAACACGATGGTCCAAGTCTCGATTCACGAAATTTAAATTTAGCGGCCGCAGGGCAAATTTTCGGCCGAACCGCCCAATTTTGGCCGAAATTTGGCCAGTGCTCACTGAATTCGAAAGCGATTTGGCTGAAATTTGGCACGATTGAAGCTTGTGGAATTTGTCGAAAATTGACCCGAGCCGAATTTTGAATTTTACACTTTTGCCCTCGGGGCGTATTTAGTTCGCTGAAAAAATTTAATTTTGATCTGGACGGTCGTATTTTAGGAAAAGTTGGAGTTTCGCACATGAATATTACCCAAAATTTGATTCTGCGTCGATTGGTACCAAAATCGTGTCGATAGCTCCACTGGCAGCCGAGTTCTGGAAGGGCGGATCCAGAAAATTTCGAATTTTTGCCTTTGTCGCTAGGCGGGCGGGGTAAGATGGTCGTATGTTGGGAAGTGAAAGTTGTTTCTAGGGCAGTTTGATGTGCTAATTACGGGGCTTATCTCGAAAACCCGAAAAATTTGAAGTCTGAGCCCTGAGGGCGGATTTTGTGCAAAAAATCCCGAAAATTTTGCGCCAACAGTTTGATCTGACTTCCGGCAGGGTCCCAGTAGCCGAAAAAATTCCAGCGATAGCTGAGACTAATAGCTATGTCGCTGTGGAGCCGGATTTTTGAATTTCGATCTAGTTTTCCAGAAAAAAATTCCGGAAAATTTGGAGTTTTTTCGGAAATTTCGGAAAATCTCGAATAGCTAAAATACGAAATACGACAGCAAGATACGAAAGGTGGTTCTAGGGTATGTCAGGCATGCTGAATCAGAATCCGTTGTCAAAATCCAGAAATTCCGTCATCTTGATGGTGAAAAATGGAAATTTCGGAAAATCGGGAATAACTATCGACCGGTCGATAAATCGACTATGGTGTAACGGGATGTTTTTCATTACTCGAGGTGTGGATACGAATGGAATTTGAGTTTTTTTCACTCCGATGCCCTGAAGGCTCAAACTGCTATATCGCCCTGGGGGCATGTTATGCAAATTTCGAAAATCCGCGAAGTTCCGTCACAGATAGTTGATGAACATGATGCAAAGAACTCGGAAACTTTTCTCTGTAAGAAAAAAGTTACAGGCGATCCAAAATCGAAAAATTTCATTTTCAACAGGGCGCAGCTCGCGCGAAAAGCAAAATTTCAACTATCCGCTGATGCCAAAAGTCTTAGAATTTTGTGTAGCAACTTCACTAAAAATTTTTTTCCGATAACTCAACGTTGAATAGTTTTCGGATATGTTTCTTATATGTATCTTCGACAAGCCCCCGCTTCGCGGGGCCTTGACGTCGCTGTGCGCGCAAAGGTTGCCACACGTGCTCTACTGTTGATCGCGCACTACCTCTGGAGTCGCTGGCCACGCTTCGCGCGGCCAGAAAAACGCGCTAACGCGCGTTCTACTTACTCAAGCCCGACAGTTATGGTCAGGTAAAGGCCGCGCGCCAGCGCTACTTTTCATCAGCTAAAGGCCGCACGCCAGCGCTACCTTCCATAAGTTTACTTTGTAGTGATTGACCGGCTCTTGGTGAAAAGCCTCCCCGCCACGTCAAGGCGGCCAGTCTTCGGGGAAGTGGTGTTATTTTTTTTTGGAAAAAATAACAAAACCTTTGCCCTTCTCTTTTTATGAATTTCAATTACTCCTTATTTCCCAGCAGGTTTCTGAGGGTATTTTGACTTCTGGTTCTCGTAAATTGTATCGAGATCGCGCAGGAACGTTGTGACTTCGCGGTAAACCACATTATCAATCTCGTCCGTATCGACGTGAGAATATAAGTGGATATCGGCGGCTCTTCGTGTGCGACTAAGCGACACATATGTCTGGCCATGACTGAAGACCGGATCGTCCAAGTATAGTCCAACCACGTTCAAGGTTTGCCCTTGAGCACGATTAATGGACATTGCAAAGGCCAGTTGCAATGGGAATTGATAACGCGTAAAGCGTATTCCTGCTCTGGCGTCTTTTCGAGGACGATAGTCAAATCGACTTCTGGCAATAAGGGCTATTTGCCCGAGATTGCCGTGAGGGTCGATCTTCTGACATTCGACCAAATCGTTGTGCAAGGCAACGACCCGCATTCTGGTTCCGTTGGAGAAACCTGTGCGGACTGATAAGTTTTTACGTAGAATAACATCTACTCCGACTTTCAGTTTCAACTCTCCGGGAGGCATATTGCCATCATTAACCTTGCAGATTTGCTCCTGCATTGCCTCGATCACTGTGTGATCGAAGTTACTGACATCGTCAGGATTGGGAGTGTTCACCGAGACATACACCTGTTCTTTTCCAGGGAAACGGTCAAGAATCTCTGTATTCAGATTCGTTACCGTCTGAACTCGAGGGGCTAATATCGCCATTCCGGTTGGTCTTGTCTCGAGAGTCATCTGTAGATGACTTTCGGGGAAGACAGCCTCAATCATGTCTTGCGGACTTGTATGATTGTGAATGTCCGGATGCAACTTGTGTCTAATCGAGAAGGCGGTCACTCTTGAGGAAAAGTTTGTTCCTGAGCCAATTTCTTGAAGAAACTGCCTGTAACTCCTTTCATCAGCTCTTGTTCTGTGATTTTGCTTTAGAACAATGTATTGCATTTCAGCTTTTTTGGAGATCAGTGACCTGTTCCATTCTTCGCCGATCCTGAGATCTGGACAAACGGGCAGTATTTGTTGGTAATCTCCTCCGTAGAGGATGACCAACTGCCGATCAATATCGCCTGGTCTGCGAACATGGCGCAACAGACGCTGCAAGTAATCGTACATGTTAATGTGCAATTGACTTGCTTCGTCAATGATCAAAAGACCAAGTTGACGAATACGCTGGGCCCTGGAGTCTTCGTACTTTAGAGTAGGAAGAGTGTCCGGGGTGAGATCAAGTGGAGCCCACAACAGATTATGGAGGGTCATTCCACCGGGCAGCAAGTTAGCCGCTACTCCGGTTGTAGCGGTGGCCGCGTATTTGATGCCATTCTCGGTGCAATAATTTGCGAGTTCAGTGTACAGGGTTGTTTTCCCTGTACCGCCTGCGCCATGTATAAAGAATTGACGATGGGGCATCGCCTTATTCTTTAGCCCGAGTTCCATCGCCTTGGTTATAGTATCAAAGGCGTATTGTTGGTCGTCTCCGAGGACTACCTTTGGCTTAGGAGGTTCTGGAGGACGCTCAGTCGTTTCGAACTCCCCAACGAAAAGATCCACGTCTTCACCGTGGACATCAGGGTCATATGCTCCATCCAAGGGTGGTAAATTGAAGGATTCATACTTCCCACCCATATTGGAGATGTAATAGCTTAGGAGCTCCAAGGCTCTGCGCTCTTGCCTTTCCCTGATTTCAGCATCAGGCATGTTGGGCCTGTGGAATGTCGGCATCATCATGTGGATCTTATAGTCGTTCCACAATTGAAGCTGATCTTCAATAAGTTCACCGGCCTCGATGAGGACTTGGGCAAACAGAAACACAAAGTGTTTGCAGGTGCGTCCACGGGCTTGGTCGAGGGCTTGTCGCCAAAGAACATCCGAGTGGAAAAGTCCTCGGGCCTGAGCAGCCTCCAAAAATGTGGCGTAAATGTGGCCGTTGTGCGTTCTGCACTGTTCGAAACTCTGGAGACATGGCACCGTGAGAATAATTGACCGAAGAGCTAATTTCTCTTTGTCTTTTACGGAAACCTCGCGCAACTGCACGATCTTTTTCATTTGTCTCTGATACTTTCTGTATGTGAAAGTCTTGTAATCATACGCATATGTCTTGTTCAGATCTACGTATGTCAAATCAGCGGTTTCTTCCGGGTGTATCGCACAATACTGGAAGTATGCAGTCAGTCTTGAATGCACATCTGGATTCAGATTGCTGACCCGCTGATAAATGTTCTCAACTGGCTCACCGTCGGCCGCATAGACGTGATTATCGCCTGGCATATGGATCCCAATTTGTTCCACAATATGTGAAACGAAAATGGGTCCAAAACTCAGGATACGAAGGTGAGCTTCCGGAGGAGTCAGGTAGTTTGCACCCAAATAGTGCTCCGGCTCATGAATGTCGACCTTCTTCGTTTTAGGATGAATTTCGATGCCGTACACCTTTTCATCTGCCTTTTTTCTCTCGGGATCAATCTCTTCCTCTTCGAAAGGTTGATCTTCACCGAGCTTTTCTTGTCTTTGTTTTTCAACTTCTTTCTCCTTTGCCTTATTGGCTTCCAGAGTTTCGAAGTCAGAAATGACTTGCACGATCGCCTTGTCATTGCCTTTCAATATGTACTTAATGACATAAGCAGGAGTTCCGTTTGTGCAAACGGCTTCCACGTTGCAATGACCATCCCACCAAGTTATGAGGGTCTTGTTAGTGGGGACTACATGCCTGTCTGTGTAGACATGTTGCACACCATCAATCATCTTGCTGCCTGTGTGAACAGGTACTGAGACGTCCGGCCCACGTTCCAACCTTTGGTACGAAACATAGCCGGGACCAATTCTGGTTTCCGGAGCAAGTTCTTGCGGATATCTCCGCTTGCATTTTCCGTTTTTGTCACGACACAAATCTGTCTCTTTGCAGTCGTGGATCATGTACCGAAGGACCTTATCGTGGACCTCGGCGTCGACCACAGGATCGGGGATCCGGGCAGTAATGAATTCGTCCACTACGTGAGCAGACATTTCTTTGTGCTCGGTCCACAAAAGCATATGGACGTGTGGATTTCCCCTTTTTTGGAATTCCAATGACATGTAGTATCCGTTACACTTCCCGAACCACCCTTTTTGATTCGAGCCGGCAGGCGCAATGCGTTTCATGAGCTCAACAACTTTTCGTCTGAATACGCGATTCAGAATGTCGTATGCATTCTTGGGATCGACGCCTTTATTTCCACAGATTTGTAGAAAGTCGGGCCATTCAGAGTTCGCCGTCAACGTAATAAAGAAGGTCGGAGAACCTAGCGTCTGGGCCATCCCAACGCAGTTGGAATACTGGCGCTGGTAATAACGACGGCTGTAACGATGGCCTGGAGGCAGTCGTGTAAGCTTTCCCAGCTGGTAACCCTTAGACTTTTGCTTAAGGAGTTCGCCAAAGTTTTCGCGAACGTATTTAGCGTCCACGCGTCGCTTGGGTACGACGTTCTTTTCGTAGTAATCGAACACTTGCTGTTCGATTCCCAAAGCCTTTTGGCAGACCCAACGGCCACCGACTTTTGGATGGGCAAAGATTCTGTGAACAGAACGATCTTTGTCTCTGCGCTGAAGCCTGTACTTTATTTGCATGCGCACAGAGCATTTCTTTTGTTTAGGATCGGCTTTTTTGGGTAAAGCGTCCCCCTCGTCAAATACCTCCTCCAAGTCGGTAATATTGATGTCATCTTCCGTTTCCTTCAACCCGGTTGGAAGAGGATTCAGTTCGACATTTACATCGAACGGCAAAAAGTCATCATCGTCCCCGGGTCGAGGATCCGGAAGGATTTCATCTTCACCGACGTCTCGCAACGGCAGATGTCGGTGGAAGTATGGTTCACCGTGTATGAACAACAGAGGGTAAAGGAGCGAGTCCAGTTCAGGGAGATACGGCTTATATTTAGCCGTTTGGTGACCTCTGCTATAAACAATCAGTCCGCCAGGAAGATTGACATGGCCACTGTCATCACTGAAGTAGACAACAGCATGCTCCGCGACTTCGGGCTTATTTATTTGCCGCTCGTGTAGACCCTCAGGGAGCAATTGGCGCCTTAATTCAGGACTTAGTTCATTGGCGTCAACCACTTTGAGCCAGTAATTTTCTTGCGGCTTGCCTTCGACAGCAAGAAGTTCTTGACGTTCTATAATCGTCAAGTACATTTGGGCCAAGTCATTGTAACGGCGAATGTAATCATAAAAGAGCGCAGTGAGAAAATCAAAGGCTTTCTTATGCGACATGTGAATGTACATTTTAGTCTTTTTTAGCTGCTCACACACGTCATCTGGCGTTATGTCAGGGGCAAATCGGAGGAGTTGCCCAAGCAAAAGCGTGGCCGACATTCCTTCAGGATTTGAAATGTGGTAAGACGTTTGGCCATTGATATTAACGACTGGCGCGCCCCGTCCAGGCGGATCCGACTGGTTCACAGTTTGCGCGGCAAACGCATACATTTGATTCAATCGAGGCCCCTCTTCCCGATAGCACGCGTAGAAGTTCTTATCCTTAAACATGCCCACTTCCCCGAGCGCTAAGTCGCGTTGGAATTCGGGCATTTCTCTGAGTTCAGGCATTACAACTCGACCTTCCTTGCAGCACTCTCGAGGAGTCTCTCCGGGCAACAACCACGCCAGACAATGCGGACAGTTATTAAAATGGCCAACATGATGTGGATGGCGATAATAATGACCGCTGCTATGTGAGGCTTGACAATGAACAGTTGTCCGCCCTATTTTCGAAGATTTTGATCTCTTCAGTTGTTCCTTTTGGACGTAATCCTGATTACTCCTTCGCACAATACCCTTTGTTTGGGTTTTTGGAGTAAACGGCGGAGGAGTAGGAGGCCGAGGCGCAGGCTGAGTCTTTGCAACTGCCGGCGTTCGAGGCGGGGAAGGAGTTTTTGTTTTTGTGTCATTCACAAAGTCTTGACACAGTTGGTTATAGACATTGTCAACAGGACTACTGTGAAAGATAGAATTCAGAATTCTAATTGAAAAATTCCTGGCTGTCCCGCTTCCCCAGCTAACGGCTGTGTTGGGCGCCATTCCATTGGACTCTATGTACAGATGGGCATTGCAAACAGTGTGGTTTGCTGTGAAATTTCCATCATTAGTCCAATGGTACTGAGCGGAATTCGTAATCACATAAATCTCAGCGTTCGGATTGGCGCCGGTTTGAGGACAGAAAACATTTCTATAGACCCTTAGGAATATATCATGGAATTCTTGGGCATCAATCCCAGTTCTAACAGGGTCAATGATCACGACCTTGGCCGATCGCCTGTTTTTATACATTACTGCAAGGGCAAAGAACCGTGAGGTCACCACCTTGCGAGTCGATCGTCGCTTCAGTATGAGCGGAATAAATAAGGCAGGGTCATGGTCACTATCTTCCGTTGGAATGCTGACCAACTGATAATCCGCAGGATCCGCCGAGGTATCCAGCGACCATGAAGGAGAGATGAGACCAATAGGTCTTCCTGATTGACTTATGAGTTGAGCCAATGAAAACGAAATCAACTTGGGATCAAACTCATCGTCGTCCCTCTCTACATATGTGAGCTCAGACTCGCCGAGTAATCTCTCTTCAAAAGTCTTTGTACTTGTGCCGACGCGATTGGCGTCCTTGAACAGCTCCATCATGTAACGGAACTTTTGGCGTGGATATTTCTCTTGGGCGTAGAGTTTATATCCCTCAGGCACACAGGACGGAGTCTCGAGAATCTCCTTTTCTTTCTCTATCATTAGAGAAATGTTAACGCAGTCAAATCGCTTCATGAGCTTGTCTTCGACTGATTTATTTCTTGGGGAAGCCCTGGGCTTCTTTGGAGAGGCCCCGATCTGACCTGAGTTTTCCTCATCGGTCTGCCGCTTAGTAACTGATCTCCTTTTCCTTGGAGTTTCAGGAACCGCAAATACGGGTTCCTCTTGAACCGCAGAAGCTTTGTCTGGAACTTTTTGAACCGATCTTGTCTTTTTGATCGGAGTCGTCGCAACAACATTAACCTTTCTTTTTTGAGGGGTTGTTGGTGGCAACAGCCTAATATCTTGAATCGAAGGCCGACCTTGAGGTGGAATAATTTCAATCTTAGACCACCGAGCAAGTCTTTCCGCCTGTGTGGCGCCGTAAAGCTGGAACTGTCTTGACAACTGAACTAACAGCAATTCTCTCAAGTCACGGGAGGTTAGACCTAAGGGTTTAACTTCTTCGCCGCTTTCCGAGCACATTAGGTACAGTAATGTGTTGTGGACGGTATGGAAGCCGCAGCTGACTCCATCATACTGTCGGTCAAATTTGTGACCAATCTCTTCTATCAATAAACAGTCTTTATTGAAGACCGAGTTAGAAACACTGTTTAAATATTGTCTAATACTCGGACTGGTCGAACTCAAAAGGGGACGACCGTTCATGTCGAAAAGGGTATCAATCAAAACCCCTTTTACGGCTCCTGTGTCGGAAACCTCGATAATTGCAACTCCGAAGTGGGTTCCATCGTACAGAGGAATAACCAACTTGGCCGGGAGCCGAGGCAATGGGTTAAAGATCACAAAAGATGGATCGAAAACACCAGTGGTCAAAAAGTTTTGATAGCCACGTGAACTGAGCAAGCCGAGATTGGCTGTAAAATGTGGAAGATACTCAGCGATTCCAAATGTTAAGGCTACAGTGGTCGCCATTTCATTAGGAGAGCTCTGCAGGTCTTCTAATCCGATCTGGAGCAAACATAGATCTAGGTCAAAACCATAGGGCCTTGTCTTAAAATTACGATTATATTGTGATTCCATAAAAGATTCAGGCACAATATCACTTAGCAATAGATAAGACATGCCACCGCCCATAAAAGTATCCTCATCCATATTTGGAAAATACCTGAAGGCATCATATGGATATGGAATGTCCACATTCCGTTTCAAAGGAGGATTTGTTTCAATCAAATCCTCAAACAGGAATGAATCCATACTTTTGGAGAGACTTTCAACGTCTTCAAACTCCTTGTTGGATTCATCGATCTCAACAGGGGACTTAACAACCTTTAAAGACCCGTTTTTCACAGCTTTCTGTGATTTGGTCTTTCGCGATGCGAATCCTATGCGTCTGGCGCGTGGTTTCGACCGGCTTTTTGCCTGGCTGATCTCTGCCTCAGCATTCAATTCAGAATTTTGAGGAAGAGATAAGGCCGTTTTTTCGGCTTTAGATGGCTTCTGAGCCTGGGAGACGGCTTTTCTACCGCCTCCACGACAGGCCTCAGCGTAAAGCTGGCAGTAAGCAACAGGAATATTGCTGTTTTCAAGCAATTTCTTGTCTTTGGGCAACAGCATGCTACCGGGTCGAGACCCGGAGCTTCTGCTAATCCTCTGAGCCGGCGAGAACTCGTACCCGGGACGAATCCCGGGAGAATTTTCCATCCGTAAACCCGGCGATGACTCGTACCCCGTTAGAGTTTGGGGAGAATTATCCATCCGGGCGGGCGAGAACTCGTACCCGGGACGAATCCCGGGAGAATTTTCCATCCCTGAGGGCGAGAACTCGTACCCGGGACGAATCCCGAGAGAATTTTCCATCCCTATTATAGGCGAGAACTCGTACCCGAGACGAATCCCGGGAGAATTTTCCATCCTATTTTTATAGATAGTAGAATAATAAGTAGAAATAAAAAATTTTGAAAGCATCTCGAAAAATGAAATAATTTCAAAAGAAAAATAATTTTTTGAGTCAAAGCTCAATTAGCAAGCGAATCAAAGTTCACTGAAATCCTTCGTTGAAAGATAACAAATTTCCAACCGAACGCGCATCAATTATTTCCTTGCGAAGCGAAGAAATGGGTAGGAACAACGAAGAGAGCGAGAGAAACGCGCGCTATTTCGCGCTCTCTCTGCCTCTCAGCGCCCTCTCTCCGTTTCGCGCTCTCTCGCTCTCTCTCGTTTTTCGCGTGTCCGATCTGGCAAGTTAAGCAACTTTACAAAAAAGATGTCGCAATAAGCTGGAAATGATTAAGTAATTAAAATATAATTAATTTATGATATTTAGAAAATAAAATCAAAATTTTATATGCAACTTGAAGCGAGTTACATCAAAAACAAATTCATATTGTACATGAGGAAATGTGAAAAAAAAATGTTTTTAAGGGAAGAAAAGGCAGGAATTAAATAGCAAATAATGTAGTAGATTAAATTTGTGATTTTTAGAGACCATTCCGATCCGTTTTTATGAAACTTGAACAAAGTTACATCAAAAATAAAATTTATATTGTACTTGAGCTCGAAAATTGCGAATAACTTTCGACCGGTCGATAATTGTCAATAGCAAGTTGCGTTCAGAAGGCTTAGAATTTCACGTGGAATAGGATAGAATGAAAAAATTATCGAAAATCGAAAAAAATTTTCCCAACTTTCGACCGGTCGATAATTGTCAATAGCAAGTTGCGTTCAGAAGGCTTAGAATTTCACGTAAAATATGATGGAATAAAAAAAATGCGAAAATCGAAAAAAATTTTCCTAACTTTCGACCGGTCGATAATCGTAAATAGCAAGTAGGCTTCAGAAGTCGAAGAATGTTGCGCTGAACATGATGCAGTAAAAAAATTTCGGAAAATTCGACGTATAAAGAAGTTATAGCCAAAACAAAATTATATTACACATGGCAATTGAGACAAATTTTGAATTTCGCTGATGTAAGAAGGGCTCCGGTCGGCTCCAGCCTTCGGCTGGAGCCTCCCGGAGCAGCCGGCGAGCCGGCTCGGCCTTCGGCCTCGCCAGCTCGCAATAATTTTTTATAAAAATAGTCTTTTTTGCTGTGTAAGTAGGGCTCCTCTTCCGATAAAGTAGTTTCAGTCGAAAGTTGCGTAAAAGAAAAGAAATTTCCCGCCATTTTAGGTGAGAAAAAAATCCCGAAAATTGACGTTGTGACAACAGCGCAGCCTTGGAGAGCTGAGAAGCTAAAAAAATCCACAGGGTACTCTATGGAAATACGAAGACAACACCGAAGCCCTTTTTTCGAAGTTGGACTTCAGTTTCAAAGAAAAAAATTATTTAGAAGCCTTATGTTACATAGCTTTAATAGTAACGACTTGAATGAATAACATGCTTAGTAACAACAAATATTTTGTAACAACAAAATCAAAGTAATGGGAAAGCAAGCTGTTTTAAGATTTCCCCAACTTCGCTTTGATTAGCTCGTTCAACGTGACGATGGGGCGGGCTGGCTTCATAGAATTATTGAATTCAGACAATGGAGAATTAGACCCCTTTAAAGAATCATATAAGTTTATGATCTACTTAAAACAATCAACAACAAACAATAAAAATTTTTCACTCCACCTTAGCCTTAGACCGTCGGAAGATTCTCGGAGTCTTCTTCTTCTTGAAATCATGATGAGGAGAGTCGCCAACCTTCGTTCCCGTCGCAGTCTGGGCCTTCTCCACATTGAACTTGACATTCTCGGCGTTCTTCTTGATCTCGGCGGTCTTCTCGCCTTCAGCTTGCTTCTTCTCCTTTCCGTCCTTCGCTTTTGCGGGTTGCACGGTGTCCTTCTGTTTGGTTCCCCACGTTTTCGCCTTCTCCCAAACAGAGAGCTTGTAACAGTCATCATCGCAATGTTTCGCCACCTCAGATGAAGTCAAGTCCTTGTTGAGCGGTTTATGGAAGTTCCCGTAGCTGCCGTCGTCATGCTCATTGACAACTTCCGAAGTTTGAGGTGGGATATTTTCCTCATCGGGATTGTAGACCGGGGTGATGCAATTGTCGTATCTTGTTTCCAAAAGACTGTCTTCGTTGGGGGAAGGGGGGTTTTTTTTGTCAGCGTTGTGACTAAAATAAAGGTTGTAATATAGATGATAACAAAAATCAATAATCTTTACTGAAAAGTTGTAAAAACTTACCGATTATCGACGGAAGGTGAAATAGGGACAGGCTGTAGAGAGGGCTGACGGGAAGGAGATCCATTATCCGGTTTCAACGCGCGCTTCTTGAAACGACTTCTAAAGAATAGAATGTAGTATCAACGGTATTAGACCAAAAGAATAGCAATAGCTTTTATATAAGGACTTACTGTTTGGAAAGAAATCTGGATCTTCCCTCATTTCTTTGGGCACCAAAGCCACCACGGCCGCCTCCACCACGACCGCCACCACCTCTGCGCCATGAGCCGCGTCCTCGGCCCCCGCCTTGAGATCCTTGCTGGATGATAACTTGCTTTAGTATCTTAGTTTGGCCGTAGGCCTGCAAATAAAAAACAGAAATGAAACATTGTAAAAAAACATAGAAAAACACCAATTTAAACTCACATTCATGGTGGTATAGATCAAAAAAGTCCAAAATCTTCAGAAATTTCGATTTTCAGAGCTCTCGAATCAATGAAAACGATACGAAGTTTCGAAACGGTTCAGGAAATGCGCTGGATTGACGTGCACTGTCGATCTGAAACCAAAATGAGTAAATTAATATGTAAGAAAACAAATTGTTTTCGAAAAATACAAAAACAAAGTCAAAAGATGTAAAAATAAGTGAGGGTTGTGAGAGAAAAGAAGGAATTCGATTTTTCATTACACTCGATCCTGCGGCCCTTCAATTGCATCCATTTTTCCCGCAATTACAATCGATTTAGGTATGTTTTTTCATTTTTTTTGTTGATCTTTGAAGGTGGGGGGGGAGAACAGAAGGAAGTGGGGGTAAAATGTGGGGCAAAACCTTGGCAAAATTTTGGCCAACCTTTGGCAAAGCTTTTGCCAACATTTCGTCCGCTTTTTGCCCACTTTTGACCTTATTTTAGGCGGCTCAAGGGTTAACCCTTTTTCCGCCTAAAATAAGGTCAAAACTGGGCAAAAAGGTGGACGAAACGTTGGCAAAAGTTTTGCCAAAGCTCCGTCAAACCTTTGTCAAGCATTTACCCCATATTTTACCCTCACTTCCTTCTTTTCTCTCAGAAAACTTGCTTTATTTTGAGATTTTTTTTGAAATTTTACTTATTTTTAGGATTTGTTTTATTTTTCGGTGTTGAAGGGGGGGATTGGGGGGTAAAAGGCTTTGTAAAAGCTTGGCAAAAGTTTGGCCGACCTTTGGCGAAACTTTTGTCGACGTTTCGTCAAACTTTTTGCCCAGTTTTGACGTTATTTTAGGCGGGTTAACCCTTTTCCCGCCTAAAATAAGGTCTAACTGGGCAAAAAGGTCGACGAAACGTTGGCAAAAGCCTTGCCAAAGCTCCGTCAAACCTTTTCCAAGCTTTTACAAAGCCTTTAACCCCCACTTCCCCCCTTGAACACCGAAAAATAAAAAAAAATCCCACAAATAACTAAAGTTCAAAAAAATCTCAAAATAAAGCAAGTTTTCTGAGAGAAAAGAAGGAAGTGGGGGTAAAATGTGGGGTAAATGCTTGACAAAGGTTTGACGGAGCTTTGGCAAAACTTTTGCCAACGTTTCGTCCACCTTTTTGCCCAGTTTTGACCTTATTTTAGGCGGAAAAAGGGTTAACCCTTGAGCCGCCTAAAATAAGGTCAAAAGTGGGCAAAAAGCGGACGAAATGTTGGCAAAAGCTTTGCCAAAGGTTGGCCAAAATTTTGCCAAGGTTTTGCCCCACATTTTACCCCACTTCCTTCTGTTCTCCCCCACCTTCAAAGATCAACAAAAAAAATGAAAAAACATACCTAAATCGATTGTAATTGCGGGAAAAATGGATGCAATTGAAGGGCCGCAGGATCGAGTGTAATGAAAAATCGATGCAATTGAAGGGCCACAGGTTGTTGTCGATTCCAAACCGCGCAATTCCACTTGGTGTGGCGATGGCTCCTTTGGCAACTGAAACAAAGGAATATAATAAAAACGTAAAAAAATATGAAACACGAAAAATAGGAAAAATCTCGAAAGAAATAATAAAAAATTACGAAAGCATTCATATAACAACATGAAATCGTTGCAAAAAGTTTTGTTGCGAAAAAATAGAATCCCTTTTTGGGTAAACAAAGCTGTTTGGGGTGCAGGCTGCGCCCGAGGAACTGCAAATAAATTTTGATAAAATACTTTTAAAACAGCGGGGAAACATGGGATTATTAAAATATAATTAAATTATGATATTTACAAAAAAAATCGACTTTTTACATGCAGTTTGACCGAAGTTACAGCCGAAACAAATTTATATTGTACATGATCAAATGGGAGAAAAAATTTATTTCAATAGAAGCAAAAGCAGAAATCAAATATAAAATGATGTAACGTATTAAATTTGTGAATTTTAGGCACCATCCCGACCCGATTTCATAAAGTTCGAGCAAAGTTACAGCCAAATGAAATTTATATTGTACATGATGAAATGTGAAAAAAAAAATGTTTTAACTGTCAGAAAAAAGAGGAATGAAATGGAAAATAACGTAGTATATTAAATTTGTGATTTTTAGAGACCATTGCGATCCATTTTTATGCTAATTGACCGAAGTTACAGCCAAAACCAAATTATATTACCCATGGGAATTGAGAAAAAATTTGAATTTCGCTTATGTAAGCAGGGCTCCGGTCGGCTCCA